CACCTTCCTAGAGGAGCTAAAAGACATCCTCCTGGACCGCCAACAACACCATCCTGGGCCCGCACATCAAATTTATGTGATCATTTGGGACAATGTACGCTTCCACAAAACAAACCAAATCAGAGAGTGGTTCACCACCAACAGTAACCACTTTTTAAACGTCTGTCTGCCACCCTACTCCCCTTTCCTGAACCCTATAGAGGAGTTCTTCTCATCATGGAGATGGAAGGTTTATGACAGACAACTATACACTAGAGAGAACCTCCTAAGGGCAATGGAGCTGGCCTGTGTTGACATCCCAGTGGAGGCCTTCCAAGGATGGATTCGCCATTCCAGGGCGTTTTTCCCGCGGTGCCTGGCAAGAGACAATATAGCCTGCGATGTGGATGAGGTGATGTGGCCCGATGCAGCTCAGCGACATGATGCCGCACAGTGATTGTGGTGTGTGTGTGTGGTGTGAATAAAGTAAATAAAAAAACTTCACACCCTGATCATGTTTTCAAGAGTACTGTTGTGTGCAATAGATTCAGTTTTTGCATTGAGTTGTGTTACAGTAGTGTACATGCAGAATTTACTATAGATTTATACTCTTCATATGAAACTCTCAAATCTAAATGCCTAATCCTCTGCAGAGATCTAAGAACATCCATTACTGTAAAGTTTCAAAAATATGCATTGGCAGTTATGAAACAAAGAACCTTCTCACAAATTGAGCATTGTGTTTTCAATTGTTTTGCTGTAGTGTGTAATGATGTGTATAGTGTTTACATTTTTGAAAGCTTCGAGCTGCTCTTTTGGTGTGAAAGTTTGAGTTTTGAAGTGAGAAGGTGTGGTTGTGTTTATGTAGCTTTAGAAAAGGGTGTTGTGTTTAGACATTGGGGAACATGGAGGAAACGTTTGTGAAATGTGTTTTAGCATTTGAGAAAAACTGTATTACTGTTTAAAGATCTCATATGCTGTTAACTTTTGTTGCTTCCTATTGATCTGCATTGCTACTTACACAAAATTGTGAATGCAATGTGAGGTTATTGCATCACTGTTTCCCTCCTTACTGTGGCTCTGCATTGTGTGCACTATAGCGTCTTCTTTGTTATATGACTATATGATTTTAAACTTCAACATCTTTGCTAAAGAACTGCAGTGGGAAATTAGCCAAATGACTAGCACTGGCACGTTTATAAAAATGTTGAGTAATGTTTGTTGTCCTAGACCCAAATAAGTATTCATTGGCTATTAAAAAGTGACAGAAATCAGCAGAATGTTTAGCATGTTTCTTCTGAGCTGCTAAGTTCATGGCCATCATGTAAACATTTACTACATTATTAAAATAGTATAACAGCTTCATAATAAAATGAGCCATATATCAATAAGATATCTTTAAGACCCTGGATCTAATTGCAACAACCAAATTATATCTTGTCATTGCGCTACCTGTTTACATACAGTGCATTTAACATAATTTTATATAATGAAAAAAATAAAATAAAAGTCATCACATTAATTATAAATATGTATCTATAGCTTAGAATGAATTCATATCTTAATTATTTCTCACTTAATCTTTTAATCCAACAAATAGGAATGAAAACACTAGAATGAAAGTCCATCTTGACCACCCCCTGAACTACAATCCCAGAAATCTTTGCTAAGGACTAATCCAGTCATATGACCAGGCAAAGTGCAGGTGGTTTGTGGTCATATGATGTTCCTAACCGAGTCTGAAGAGCAGCAACATCTGAGCAGAATCAGAGCCTACATCACTCCCTACATTGAAAGGTAAAGCTGGATGAATCATTCCATTTCAACCTGTTTTTTCTGCCTTTGGTGATGAATGCTGCAGTTTCACACTGAAAAAAGAGGAAGAGGGAGAGCAGATGGGAGACAGGGATGAGGGGGATGGGAGGCCATGAGGAATGTCTCTGCATTGCCTTCTTTAAACAACAAGGAAGCACTGTGTAAATCTATCTGTTGAAAACATATTTAGCCTGAGGTTGTGTGTCTTTGAAGAGATATCATGTTATTGGAGATAGGAAGATTTGATAAAGAGTGGATACAGTATGTGAGTGTGTTACAGTCAGCTGCACTTTTAATATAAGAGCTATCTGGTGTTCTTCTGGGAGGAAGCTAAACAGGGA